TTTCTTCTGGAGAAAGTCTTATTTGTTTTATTTCGGCTAGAATGAAAGCAGTTTTTAATTTTTTAAAACATATTTTTAGGCCAATATTATAAGCCCCCTAAGCTTAACTTTTTTCGATTGTCTACAGAACAAACCATCTAATTAACCTAGTCAAGCCTTTAAATGTCACTTTAAGCTGAATACTAGTATCTTGAAAATTATCTAGTCAAATATTATGTAGTATACAGTTAGGTCCATAAATATTTGGACATCACCATCACAATAGATTTGAAATGAAACGAAGATGTGCGTCAACTACAGACTGTCAGCTTTAATTTGAGGTCAACCCTGTAGATATTACAACTGTTTGCATATGAGCTTCCCACTTGTTAAGGGACCAAAAGTAATTTAAAAATTAGCTTATATGCTGTATTTATATGCTGTGTGTTATTCCCACATTATTCCAATTACAGTGAGCAGATAAACGGTCCAGAGTTTATCTCAAGTGTGCTATTTGCTTTTAGAATATGTTACTGTCAACTCCCAATATGAGATCCAAAGAGCTCTCACTATCAGTCAAGCAAGCCATCATTAGGCTGAAAAAACAGAACAAACCCATTAGAGAGATAGCAGAAACATCAAGCATGGCTAAAACAATCATGTGGAACATTCTTAAACAGAAAGAGCGCACCAGTGAGCTCAAAAACACCAAAAGACCCGGAAGACCACTGAAAAGCCACTGGTGAAGAAAACACCCTTCACAACAGTCGGCCAGATCAAGAACACACTCCAGGAGGTGTATGTGTGTCAGAGTCAACAATCAAGAGAAGACTACACCGAAGTGAATACAAAGGGTTCACCACAAGATGTAAACCATTGATGAGCCTCAAAAACAGGAAGGCCAGATTAGAGTTCTAAAAAAGTGTTTACAGTGCTGGAACAACATCCTGTGGACAGATGAGATCAAGATCAACGTATACCAGAGTGATGGGAAGAGAAGAGCATGGAGAAGGAAAGGACTTGCTCATGATCCTAAGCAGTAAAGCATGGGGGTAGTGACATGGCGTGGGCATGTATGGCTGTCAATACAGCTGGTATTCTTGTATTTATTAATTATGTAATGCTGAGAAAAGCAGCAGGATGAATTCTGAAGTGTTTCAGGGAAAATTTTCTGCTCATATTGAGCCAAATGCTTCAGAACTCATTGGATGATGCTTCACAGTGCAGATGGAGAATGACCCAAAGCAAACTGCAAAAGCAACCAAAGTTTTTGAAGGGAAAAAAGTGGAATGTTTTGCAATGGCCAAGCCAATCAATTGACCTGAATTCAATTGAGCATGCATTTTACATGCTTTAGACAAAACTGAAGGAAATGCCCCAAGAACAAGCAGGAACTGAAGACAGTTGCTGTAGAGGCCTGGCAGAGCATGACCAGGGATGAAACCCAGCGTCTGGTGATGTCTATGCGTTCCAGACTTTAGTCTGTAATTTACGGCAAAGGACCTGCAACCATGCATTAAAAAGCGAAAGTTTGATTTATGATTATTATTCTGTCCAATTACTTTTGGACCCTTAACAAGTGGGAGGCGCATATGCAAACTGTTGTACTTCCTACAGCGTTTACCTGATTTGGATGTAAATACCCTCAAATTAAAGCTGACAATCTGCAGTTAAAGCACATCTTGTTCGCTTTATTTGTTAATTTTAAGTTCATAGTGTTGGTGTATAGAGATAAAAATGTTAGAATTATGTCAATATTTATGGACCTAACTGTATATTTATGATACACATTATTTTTAAATACATATTTCAAATACAAAATGGTATTTTGTAATTTGTATTTGATAGGTGGTATGATGATGGCAGCCTGATCTCACAAAAAAAACGTAAGTATTTTACGTTTTGTCAGTCGAACAAAATTGTACGAGTTTGTACAAGTTTTGTTTGTTGTGGCGCCTAACCTCACCCCTAAACCCAACCGACATTGGGGGGTGAGCAAATAGTACTAAACTGTACGAATTAGATTGTACGAATTCATACGAATTAGCCACTAAATCAAAAAGTTACGAATTCCCGTGAGATTGTGTTGGATAATGGCTTAATATTTTGTATCAAAACACTTTAGTGTCTTGTATTTTTAAAATACAGTAAAATACTTCATAAGAAGTCTACATGATGACATCATAAAAATGCGGCCTCAGATTGATGCTTTCTCAGTTATTTGCTCAGGTTTGAGATCAGAATAGAAACCTGATAATTATTGAAGATGGTAGATAAAATTCATTAATGAACAATTTTGTGAAGAAATAATAAACACTTCATATATAACCCTTTTAATATATAATACTGTTATGAGCTTGAATAATCATTGTACAGAGAATATATCAATTTTACTGGAAACATAATCAACAGATATATTACTCATTATCTGCCTATTATAGGCATATTCATGAAAGGTTTGCAAAGAAGATTCATGCTAACTGGTAAAAGTATGTTGTGGTATTTTTTAAATATATTTGTGGCTGATGTATTATGATACACCTAAATGGAGGTTTTTGGTATTTCATTTTTAAATACATTTCAATGTATTTTGCCTATCACGGCATAGTTATTAAATGATTATGTTAAGGAATGTGCTGAAAAACCCCTCCGTTATTCAGTAATTGGGAAAAAGGGGGGGCTAATAACTATTTTTTTTTTATAAAAAAAAAATCGAGTTAACATTTTTTTTTAAGTAAAATGTTCTGTAAAACATTTTTTTTTCATTACAGTATTTACCCTTTGCCTTAACATGGAAACCTTTTGCGTGGACTGGATGTAGTGATGCTCATCTCTGCATTCACGTCTTTACAAACTTTTTACAACCAAAACGGTGCACATTCAGCGACGATAATCCTTTTTCTGGGCACATTATTCAGCCGTCAGACCGCTGAATGGCTGAAGCGCTCATGCACTGAAAGGCCTTCTAGGGTGGCTCGATGGGCGGAGCTTCTGAAAGTGGTCATATAGTGGCTTCACTAATGTACAGCCAATCAACGGCCAACCTTTATGTGCTCACCCTGGGCTTTCTCCACAGGTGACCAAAGGGGTGAAATCGCCTTTGCCCTTAACCCACAGACACACACACACACACACACACACACACACCAAACTGCTCAAATCCTTTAGTTCTTTAAACCATTCTTTGAGTTTTTCATGCTGCACTGCTTATGGAAATAAAGCTTATGATGTCATAGAAAGTAAAGCAACCAGCAATTCCCTTTGACGCTCATGATTTCGATAAAATCAAGAGTCTGTAATTTAAAGATTTGAATCAGAAAACATTGTCTAAGAGGATGCATTTTTGTATCTTTAACTCCACTATGCGCCTTGCTACACTTTCAAAATAAAAGGTACACCGTGGTACAAATAATGTTCCTTAAGGAAGTTTTGTACCTTTGTAAAAGTTTAACCTTATATGATACAGAAAAGTCCTCTTATTATACTGTTCTGTACCTTTTATGGTGCAATTGAAATGAAGGTACACAATTGTTCTCATACAAAGGTACATAAGTGTTGGACAACTCCTTCTTTAATACAATATCTATGAAAATCAATATGACTGGAAAGGCAAAGTGATTTTATGAATCATTTATGAATAATTTCCATAATAAAACATGAATACTCATTTAAAAGTAGGTGTTTAAAGAAACATAAACATTCATTATTAAGTTCGATAAAACAAATCAATTATTAAAACAAAACTCTAGGTATTGTAAACTAAACATTTAAATAAAATCCAGTTTCAGTATTAATATCCGCACCTTTTGGCGTTTGCTTTCCACTAAGCAAGTTAGCTGGCAAAAGAGTTTGTGAGGAGTTTGACAAGCCATATATGCAATAATTTTGTCCAAACTACAGACAATTGTACTTACAAATTTGCACACATGCGCCAAAGTATTTGCAATATGCTTAAATCATTTAGAAATGCCACTCTGAAGTGAACAATAAGCTAACTGTTCAGAGATCTGCACTCATTGTTTTGAAAAATAAAAATTTAGATCAAGAATTGAGCCTAAGCAATTAAGAATAACTGTAATATTTAATACATAGTCTTTTTACCATTCCTTTCTGTCATGTAATGAATGGTTATCCAGAATATATTCAACCTTTAGACAGAAAACATCCCCATGCACACCAGCACAACTCACTAACTCACACATTTTAGATTGAACATTTCTTTTGCAGGTACACACCTCTTTTACTCGCACATGTGCCGAACCCCCAGCCTGATCTCACAAGGAAACGTAACTATTTACATTTGTCAGTTTAATGGCTAATTCGTACAATTCAGTCGTACAAAATTATATGAATGAGATCGTACAAATTCATATGGATTGGCCACTAAATCAATAAGTTGCCATCAGAGTGTTTGATCCTCTAATGTGAATCAAGTTCCTGATAAATCAATGTATCATTTCTTAGACAGGTATCTGTTACTTTATGTGAACCCATCTGTGTGTGTGTGTGTGTGTGTGTGTGTGTGTGTGTGTGTGTGTGTGTGTGTGTGTGTGTGTGTGTGTGTGTGTGTGTGTGTGTGTGTGTGTGTGTGTTTCTTTCTTTCTTTCTTATTTTATTATTTTTGTTTATTTATTTCTCTCTCTCTCTCTCTCTCTGGAAAGAAACACAGAAAGAAACTTGTTCCCTTTTTTTTCTTGATTGTCTTGTTTCTTATTCCTTTTTCTTTCTTTTTTTTTTTATTAGCTTAGCAACAATTATTTTATTAAATTAGACAGTTATCATCTCGCTCAAAAGTGACCAAAGTATGACTAGTTCTGTGTCCATGCTCACCGTCTATACCAGGGGTCATGAAACTTATTCCTGGAGGGACGGTGTCCTGCAGATTTTAGCTCCAACCCTAATCACACACACACACACACACACACACACACATATATATATATATATATATAGACTCGATCCAGTTTATCAATAATTTATAAAGTAATAGTAATTACTTTAATATTAAAGTATTAGTAATAATAAAGTAATTTATATTTTAGTTATCTATGTTATTAGTAACGTTTGTATTTTTTGGTTGGCCTGTGTAAATTGTATATGTGCTCTATAAATAAAACTAAATATAAACAAAATCATAAATAACACTACAGCGACCTCGTATGGTCACCAGGGAAGCTCTTCAGCTTTTGTGGACTTGAAGTATCAACAAAGCTTATATAACAGGTTATTTATTACTCGTCACTACATACCATCCCATTACTTTCAGTCATTTAAATTGAGTGGCAAATTTCTATATAAGTTTTGCACGAATTCATCTCACAGTAGTTAGTTGTCAGCTTGGTCGCTATGGCAACATTTTGTTAACGCTGACAAATCTGACAACCAGGTAACGTTAAATCGCATCTTCATACAAAGTAACGTGTCTTGTTATATCTGTCGTTTTTAGCTAAATTATAACTTCTTTTTTGTTATTTAAACTTACTCAGCAGCATGTCTTCGAAAACTCGGTTTTCTATGATCCACAGTCCTCAGAAAACCAACAGGACAACACCGACATCCAAGTAAACTCGTATTTTTCTCTCATACTGAACGTTTTGCCTTCAAACAAAATGCGTGAATGTTTTTTTTTTTTTTGTTTGTTTTTTTTTTTTTTTTTTGTATGTTTAGGTCTTTCCCTCGGTGTAATAAGAAGAATTCCGGCAGTCCTGTTGGAGAGGAACCAAACAAAATGACTGAGACCGAAATAGCACAGTAAGACAGATACAGTTGATTATCTATTGTTTATTTTGATCGTCATTAGCCTCTATCAGTGTAGTAGCTATTCTTCCTGGGGTCCAACGAATTAAAATAATGATAAAAATAATAATAATTAAGCTCAACAGTCAAGACTAGAAGACAAATTTACATTGTATTAAAACATTTGAAAGCTATAACCAAATTTCATACAAAACATAACAAAAGACAATGATGCTAAAACCATTTTAAAAGACAAATTTAAACCATAATAATAAAAAAACTAACACCAAACATATGATACTTAAACATCAAACATATGACTTTACTGATTACTCATTCATTCATTTTCTTTTCAGCTTAGTTCCCTTATTAATCATTGATCGGCACAGCGGAATGAACCGCCAACTTAACCAGTATATGTTTAACGCAGTAGATGCCCTTCCAGCTGCAGCCTATCACTGGGAAACACCCATACACACTCATTCACACAGACTACAGAGAATTTAGCCTACTCAATTGCCCTATAGCGCATGTGTTTGGACTGTGGGGGAAACCGGAGCACCCGGAGGAAACCCACGCCAACACGGGGAGAACATGCAAACTCCACACAGAAATGCCAACTGACCCAACCAAGGCTCGAACCAGCGATCTTCTTGCTTTGAGGTGACAGTGCTAACCACTGAGCCATCGTGCTTGGCATATAAATGTAATTTAATCACAGATGTCTGCGATGCGTATATTGTACTATTAATTCTACAATAAATACCGTCTTATTATTCCGTATCCATTTTACCAATAGTTGTGACTCCTCATTTACATTAGAAGTTAATGTTTTTCAACTTATAAAAGATAAATAGATAGCTATAATGCCTTTTCCCTGTCTGTCTCTGCAGAATAGGGAAGCCTTTGCGTCAGAATATTTGCGTAGAGATGCTTCGAGACGGCTTTCCACACTCATTTAAGGAGCTGTTCGCACTTCTGCAGCGCTGGGATGAAGAGGACGACGATCCGCTCAAACTGCAGACTCTACAGCTTCACCTCACTCGGGCTGAGGCAGCAGAGAGATCTGGTAATTGTTCTACCCTTTTTTTTTAACCGTTGTGTTCTGATCAAATTGACTAACTTTTCTTTATACTCATGACTCCCGTTATAATTACAAATTTTGAAGAAGCCATGAGACCATTAATTTGTTTTCTTTTTGGCTTAGTCCCTTTATTAATCTGGGGTTGACACAGCGGAATGAACCGCCATGGCTCTATAAATTTAGACTTCTCCAATATGTTGTTTACTAATAATGTTTATCAATAATCTCTAATAATGTTAATCATCTCTCTTCCCCTTGAGAATATATATAGTTCAAGTCAAAATTATTCACTCTCCTGTGATTTTTTATTTTGCTTATATTTCCCTTAACACAGCAAGGAATTTTTCACAGTATTTTCTATCATTTTTTTCTTCTGGAAAACATCTTATTGGTTTTATTTCGGCTAGAATAAAAGCATTTTTTTTCTTTTTAAACCATTTTAAGGTCAATATTATTAGCCCCCTTAAATATTTTATTCTCGATTGTCTACAGAACAAACAACTGTTATACAATAACTTGCCTAATTAACCTAGTTAAGCCTTTAAATTGCACTTTAGGATGAATACTAGTGTCTTATGGGCTATTAAAACTATTATGTTTAGAAAAACTTCTCTCCGTTGAATAAATTGTGGGGAAAAAATATAGAGGTGGGCTAATAATTCTGACTTCAACTGTACTACATTAAATTCTCTGGATCTGTGTTTTGTGCTGTAGAAAAGTATGATGAGGCGTATGAGAACCACATGCTTATGGCCAGGTTTTTCACAGAGGACAAATGGATGAAGCATCATTTCCTTGAGCTGGCACTCCGTTCAGCTCGCAAGGTCATAATGGACTCTGGCAAAAGAGAAGCTGAGGCCAGGTCACTTGTGGGACAAGCTTATTTAGAGAAAGGTAACGCACACACATACGCAGGTTTTTGATTTTAAAATTAAATGTAGAGTCATAGTGCCAAATGGTCCCCATAAATATAGTAATACCAGTAAATTTTGACCTTAAGGGGGCTTTTTTTGGTGGTTCCCTTAAGGAAAAGTATTTTGACACTGTAAAACTGCAGAATGTGTGCTTTGAGGGAAGTAGTTTTTGGTTGGGGTTAGGGGGTAAGTGATAGGGTAGGGCAGTGTTTCTCAACCACATTCTTGGAGAACCACCAACACTGCATGTTTTGGATGTCTCCTTTGTCTGTCTCACCCATTACAGGTCTTTCAGTCTCTGCTCATGAGCTGATGATCTGAATCAGAGGTATTTGGTTAGGGAGACAACGAAAATGTGAGAGCTGGTGGTCCTCCAGGAACATGGTTGAGAAACACTGGGGTAGGGTATGGTTAGGTTGGGGTAGAAGATAGGGTAGGGTAAGGTAGGGTTGAGCTGAGTTGGAGTTGGGGCTGGGGTAGGGTAGGGGATGGTTGGGTTGAGTTGGGGTAGGGGATAGAGTAGGGTAGGGTTGAGGTAAATTGAAGGGAGTTGAGTTGGGGTAGGGAATAGAGTAGGGTTGGGTTGGGTTGAGTTGGGGTAGGGGATAGCAGGGTTCAACGCTAAGGATTTTTTTCTGCTGGCCCAATCGGACTAATGGTTCAGATTTTTACTTGCCCTGCCAATATTTTCACTGGCCCCTCCAAAAAAAGTTAATAGCTATTTCTTAGCCACAAATATAACAAAAAGTGTCAAAATGTTTGTAAATATAGAATTTAAATATTTTTTAAAAATTATAAATGTGTAATGAGCAAAATTCAAAGTGTTTTGAAACAAAAGATGGCTAAAGACCAGCCAAACTGACGGCAAACTGTACAAAAGATCACTTCATTTTTTTTAGTCGTGGTGTACCCTGGTATATGTCTGCTTCCAAGACGTTAGAAACAAACGTTTTCCTTTAACATCATCATTTGATGTTACCGCCATGTTGCTGTCTCTTCCCTGTACTAATAATGTGCTCACATCATCCAATCAGATAAGAAGAACCGAGAAGGTAGCATTTGAAGGCTTGAAAATACAAACTGTTTCTCAATTCTAAAACTGTATTTGCACGCAATTGACAAATAGTCACAGGCAAATTAAACTTTAGTAACAAGGCAACAGTGGCCCGATCGGGCCAGTAACGATCCTGTCTACTGTCCCGAGCATCTCACACGCTGGCCCCGGGCCATCAGGCAGTCCTTATTGTTGAGCCCTGGATAGAATATAGTTTGTACAGTATAACAATTATTATGTCTATGCGAAGTCCCCAAAAAGATTGCTGTAAAAGTGTCTGTGTGTGTCTGCATGTTTTACAGGTGATCTTGAGCTTGCACAAGAGCATTTGGAGGTGTTTTATCAGCTAACCGCAGGCCGAACTTGGCAGGACAGCAACGGCCGGATGCAGCACTCTCGCTCATGTGAAGAGCTCCAGACGGTCTACACGCTGATGGCACAGAGATCTCTGCAGGATCAACAATATGAGCAGGCCATTAAGATGTCTAGAAAGGCCTATACTATTGCTAAAGAGTGTATGCACACACTGTTCACTCTTAAGGCTGATTTATACTTCTGCGTCAAGAGCACGCGTATGCTATGGCGCAACCTACACATAGACTCATAGCCCTCTCCGTGGCCGTCGCGACATTGACGCACACCTCAAAAGAATGTAACTACGCATTGCAACAACGCATAGCGCAAGTTCTGTGATTGGTCGGCTTGGTAGCACTGACGAGTGTGAGCGGGACCTCACTGCTAGCTAGTGTTTAGGAAGTGTTATTACAGAGGAACACAAACAGTGCTCAGAGTTATAAATGCACGGCAACGAGCAAGGCTTGTGCCGTGGGTCACGCCGATCTTTTGACGCAGAAGTATAAACCAGACTTGACAGTGATTTACATTAGCTATAGGTTCACAGTTGGCCATGCACCCTAACTCAACTACACTGTAAAAAAATTCTGTATTCCACTCAATCGATGTGTGTTAGAGCAACATGAAGGAATTAAGTAATCTTATTAGGTTTTACAAATTTAAATGGATTGAACATAAAACAATGAACTCAATTGTGTTGTTTTAGCTCATCTCAAATAAGCAGTTTAAACAAAAAACAAACACAATTGTTTTGAGTGTACATGAAAAAAAGTTGACCTCTCTGTGAACACTTGATCTGTGTAAACTGACCGAAATCTGTTTAACCTAAGGGAAAAGTAAATCCAGTGATATCTACTGTTATATGCTTAAATTATACACTTTGAACACTGACTAACATGCTATGAGTAGGCCCACACGGAATCTGTGCGCGCAGAATTCTGCAGATATGTAGCACATCATTAATTCTGTTTATTTTCTTAAGTAAATGTGTGTAAATCTATATCTAATTAGTTTTTAAAATATTTACAGTAATATTATTGACTAATGTGGAAATGTTCATCTGATTTATGTACAATGCAGTCTGTACAGTAATATTTTCTGTCTTTTAGTAGATATATTATAAGTGAATTTCATTTTAAACATTAAATAAAAGTTAAAAAGGTATTATTTTTTTATTTTACATATTAAGATTTTAGTTATGATACTCCCAAAATAATTCTGCAGAAATCCGCATATTTTTACTAAAATTCTCAGCAGAAATAGCAAGAACGTCCGCAGATTCCTTCTGGCCCTAGCTATGAGTGTCCAGCAGGCAGCGCCCCAAACGAAGATCCTGCAGCACTGATAGAAAACATGCCATCTGTTAATGATTTATAAAACGTAACATTCTGTAGTACAGTGGTTCTCAAACTGTGGTACGCGTACCACTAGTGGTACGCGGGCTTCCTCCTAGTGGTACGCGGAGGAATCGCTGAATAATGAAAGAAACAATTAACACTTTTAATCCTCAAATGTGTAATATAACATCGATGTGATCAGCATTGGCTGTTTTGTGAAGTGTAGGATCACAGCGCTGTGCTTAGAATGTTTATTTTAGTGCATTGTGTCATAAGCTGCTATAAATCAGTTTCCGAAGTTTAAGAATTGATTCTGAAGCGTGATTTGACTGACATGAAAAGTAGCCAATCACAGTCGACCTTGTCTAGTTGCGTAAAACGTAAGGGCGGGACAAATGCTTTCTGTGTTGCAGACAGAAAAAACTACTTAAAAACAAATGTTTTGTTGGATTAATGCTTCTCGGATGTTTTCACTATAGAGATGTCTAGCAGAGTAATTAAACCGCGGACATATTTCCTGCCTTTTTGATGATCTACAAACACGTTTCGCTCTCCGACAGCCAGTCGACTCGACTCTGACCTGTCACTCCTCTAAACACAGTCTGAATGGCGGCGCGGGAATGAAGGTATTGCGCAATTACTCATTTCTGCAAATGCGGCGAGTGCTCTATTTTAACACGAGAGCGCATTCATGTACGCAAATCACTAAAACAGATATGCGAGCTCTTAAATATGCTTTTTTCAAATGAACTGCAAGTCCTCTCATGATCGCCTGTGTGCTCAGATAGAATACAATCGCGATCTTTCCACTATTAAAGTAGACATTATTTATCTTTGCTCCTTGACTAAATTTAGTCAAAAGTATTCAAAGTTATCAAGTATTTAGAAATAGATTGATGCATGATCGATAACAATGCTAAAGGTCTTCTTATTTGGCTGTGTTGTTAAGTGAAACTTTAGCAAAGGTGGAGCTTTTTTGTTTCTTTACGACAAAAGAATTATGCTGGAAATGTTTCTGGATGAGGTATATGTGTGATTTATACATTTAGCTGTATTCTGATCTGTCTTAAAGCATTACAGATCAAAGCAATCCATTGTTACTTATTGTTTATTTATCAAAATTTACAATAAGACTCTTAAAGCACTGCTTTGATAAATGTATTGTTGTCACATTTCAAATACCTCAAGTAAAATAAAGTCATTTGCTTTATTTTTTACTGACAGTGTACTTGTATTTTTTTAACGTTTCTATTTTAGATTAAGATCAAGTGTAAAATAAAATCTACATGTGATGTACAGCTATTGAAGAAACAAATTTGCCATATTGTAAAGAAAAATAGTGTAAAATATGTAAATAAAAGGCTAAATAAAAATCTTTTTACCATATACTTTAACCTTTCAAAGCTTAAAAATATATTTTTTAAAAAATGGGCAAAAAGTGTCTCTATGGCCTTAAAGATTATTTGGTAGTTTTACCAGTGCTATTGAAAAAGATTAATTGTCATGAAAGGAAAAATCGACCATACTTTCTTTGTTAGTGCATATTCCTATACACGTAGCTTTGAGATTTAAGCAATCAAACCATTAAATCAGGTTTACACTTAAAAAAAGTGATTTCATAATGAAAGTCTGATTTTTTTATTCAAAAGTAACCAACTAGTACTTTTTAAAAGAGTACTTTGTACTTTTACCAAATATTAGCATTATTTACTAAAAATGTTGTTATTTTAGCAGTGTAATAGTATTTTTACTTGAGTACAAAAAAGATTTCACAAGCATTTAGTGCAGGTTTATTATATTATTAATATATGATTAATAAATATTATTTTTAATGTTTTTTATTTGTATCTATTCCTATGCAATGTTTTATGGGTTGCTGAGAATACATTTCAGGTCTTCAATACATAGCATGTCAGTCTTGAAAAAAAAAATAGGTGCTGGAATTGATTTTCATTAGGCTGTGCCTGTATGAACCCTGTCATATGTACATTTAACATATATTTCAAGATTTGTCTGAAAGTGTAGGAATATGACATATAGCCTATATTTATAAGGTCCAAGCAGCATTTCCAGCTTTTGATGAATAGGCTACATTGAATACTTTAGATTTAAGTACAGCAGTTTTCTTTTTACTTTTTAAGAACAGCGCCATTTTTTAATGAACTTTTAAAAGCACATTTTACTAAAACTTTTTTTTTATCTGCAAGCACAGTTAATGTTCAGACTATTTAAAATGTTTAAAGTGACTGACAATAATACATATTCTTAATAGTAGGAAGTAATCTGCATCGTTTTTAAACTGTGCACACCTGTAGCTGCTTAATTAGGCCTACAACGCTATTTTTTAATACTGGTTAAAAAAATAGCGTCGTAAGGTGGTACTTGGAGAGACGATTTTTTTCTAAGGTGGTACTTGGTGAAAAAAGTTTGAGAACCACTGCTGTAGTACATTTAGTTATTAAGGCCATTTAGCAATTTTTCTATGCATGATTTAATTGGACGGGTATCACGGAACAGATTACTCTACTTAGCCAATCACTGTAGACAATTTAAAAAAGTAGTTACTGCAGGTGGGTGAGGCAGTGGCGCAGTAGGTAGTGCTGTTGCCTCACAGCAAGAAGGTCGCTGGTTTGAACTTCAGCTCAGTTGGCGTTTCTGTGTGGAGTTTGCATGTTCTCCCTGCCTTCGCATGGGTTTCCTCCGGGTGCTCCGGTTTCCCCCACAGTCCAAAGACATGCGGTACAGGTGAATTGGGTTGGCTAAATTGTCCGTAGTGTGTGAGTGTGTGTGTGAATATGTGTGTGGATGTTTCCCAGAGATGGGTTGCGGCTGGAAGGGCATCTGCTGCGTAAAAACTTGCTGGATAAGTTGGCGGTTTATTCCGCTGTGGCGACCCCGGATTAATAAAGAGACTAAGCCGACAAGAACATGAATGAATGAGTTACTGCAGGTTAGAGGAAAAAGGCACAGTAAATGCACCGATACAGCATTAAGTATGTACACATTTTTTTAACTACTAACAATTACGTGACGATCACAGTCATTTAAGTACATGTAATTAGTTTCTTTGCACCTCTGGACGTACTACTATCTCATGACCTACACGCGTCACTGCATAAATTCTCTCGCATGGCCTCATGGGATAATAAAGTATCCATTGAAAGCACACTTCAGAATATCATCAGTAGTAATAAGCCATTCGGGTACTTGATTGTTTTTAAAATACTATGAATTCGGATATTCTTACATGGTTCCCATACTGATCGCACACTACATAGTAGGGAAGTATGTGATTTCAGATGCAGTCATAGTTTTAGTATAGTTTCGATTTTCAAAAGCTTGGTTGCTTATGCAAATCAAACTAACACCTCAATACATTTTCTCTTGTAGCGGGAGATCGAGCGCTGGAAGGAGAGGCCGCCTATAGACTGGGTCTAGCCTATCAGAGCACAGGAGACCAGAAGATTGCTATGAAGGTGTGTTCGGACTCACTAATTCTGTTTGTTCATTCCGCTTATCGAAGCTAATGTTGCTTTCGACAGTTTTTAAGCTCATATATGGAGATCGCCTTGACACTTGAAGACACAGACAGTCTGGGAAGAGCACATGAAGCCATGGCCAAATGTCTGGAGAGGTACAGGAGATACAAACAGATACACACATACACACTTTCAGACATTAAATTTAAGAGTCGACATGAAACTGAAGTAAGGGCGAGGCAGTGGCGCAGTAGGTTGTGCTGTCGCCTCACAGCAAGAAGGTTGCTGGTTGGAACCTCGGCTCAGTTGGTGTTTCTGTGTGGAGTTTGCATGTTCTCCCTGCCTTTGCGTGGGTTTCCTCCGGGTGCTCCGGTTTCCCCCACAGTCCAAAGACATGTGGTACAGGTGAATTTGGTTGGGTAAATTGTCCGTAGTGTGTGAATGTGTGTGTGGATGTTTCCCAGAGATGGGTTGCGGCTGGAAGGGCATCTGCTGCGTAAAAACTTGCTGGATAAGTTGGCGGTTCATTCTGCTGTGGCGACCCTGGATTAATAAAGGGACTAAGTTGACAAGAAAATGAATGAATGAATGAACTGAAGTTAAGATTGTCTTTTTTTCTGTCTATCCACTTGAAATGGTCTTGAAATAAGAAAAATATATAGGACAGTGAAAAAATCCTGATGAAATCATGTTCTTTACGAACCCATCGGATTGTCAGAAGATGAGGGTTGCTAACAAAATGTAAGAAGTGTGATGCACTAGTATATACAGTTGAAACCAGCAAGTTTTTTTTTTTTTTTTTTTGAGAAATTGTTATAACTTGAAAGTCAAAAGTTTACATACAATAAGTTTATTCTGCATCTGAAAAAGCTCAAATGATGGTGTAAAAGTTTTGGAAGTTTCTGATTGGCTAATTGACAACATTTGAGTAAATTGGAGGCACAACTGTAGAACAGTATTTAAGGAAAAGCTCAAACACACTGCTTCCTTGTGTGACAACATGGGAAAATCAACAAGCAAGAATCAACAACAAAGCAAGAATACAATTTGCTAAATTACACTGGGAGAAAAACACATTTTTGGAGACATTTCCTGTGGTCTGATGGAGCTAACATTGAACTGTTTGGCCATAATGACCAGTGTTACATTTGGAGGACAAAGGGGAAAGCGCACAAGCCTAGGAACACCATCCCAACTGTGAAGTATGGGAGCATCAGTTGTGGGGCTGTTTTGCTGCAGGAGGGACTGGTCCACTTCACAGCATAGATGGCATCATGAAGAAAGAACATTATGTAGAAATACTGAAGCAGCATCTCAAGACATCAGCCAGGAAATTAAAACTTGGCCACAAAAGGGTCTTCATAACAGACCATGACCGTAAGCATACTGCCAAATTAGTTAAAATGTGCTGTAAGGACAACAGAGGGAATGTTTTGGAATGGCCATCACAAAGCCCTGATCTCAATCCTATAGAAAATTTGTGGGCAGAGTTGAAAAAGCTTGTACGAGCAAGACTGACTCAGTTACACCAATTCTGTCAGGAGGAATGGGCCAAATTTCCTTCAAACTATTGTGAGAAGCTAGAGGAAGGATATCCAAAACATTTGACCAAAGTTATACAGTTTAAAAGCAAAGCTAAAAAATACCAAGGAAATGTGTGTAAACTTTTGACTGTCTAGAAATTAATAAAAAAAAATTCTCAAAAAAAAAAATTCTCACATTATTCTGGCATTTAGCAAATGTAAATCATTTAGGTAATCTTAACGGACCTAAAATAGTAAATGTTTAGTATGGTTTACCATCAGACATTTAAAAAAAAAAACAATGGTTATGTTCATTTTTTAGAGTGTATGTAAACTTCTGATTTAAACTGTACATATAAAAATAAAGCCCTGGTCAGATCACACAAATTTGTCACGATTTCGGCACAATTTCTTTGATGTAGGGGGTCGTGGGGATTTGTAAACGACAAATGAGCATTGTGACACAAGATTTAATTGTTTCTTTTTGTGTAATGTGGCATGGTTCAAGACAACCGATACCATGCCTGCGAAGCCTCATGACACCATCAGAGAAAGTCTAGCATGTTTAATTTTTTTCTCGTTCATCACGACGAGTTCTCGTTCTTCAGACACTGTGCAATAGGAGCATGTCATTTCTCGGTTATCTCAGCAGATACAGCCGGTCAGGTAATCAAAAAAATAGACCTCATATTTACGTATGGGTGGGTCACGGGTGGATAAGATCAATCATTGGTTATGCAAACTGTAACTATGTTTTCTAAAATATTAAAGTGGTTTAACCAATTTTATCTGACAGACTAGCACAAATATGCAGACATCTCCATTCTCATGAAGAGTTTCTGAGTTCTCTCATCCTTCCGACAGTTTGTTCTCCCGAATTAATCTGGGAACATGTTCAGTGCTGCGAATACACTGCAATAGCAATTCCTGCTTAATAAATGTGTCCTTAATAGTGAAAACAGCTTAATATCAGCTTCTCTGAAACTGAATATTTCACTTCATTTTATTTAGGCTAGATTATTATTTCATTTAACAAACCAACACAATCTCATGGCAATTCATGTTTCAGCCTATATAGACTTGTTTTGAAGTGCTTCACCTCAAATGTTATTTGTTATTTTTGTTTATAGATCACTGAGACCAATATATATTAGAATTAAGATCAAAATTATAGCAATTTTTCCAAAGACACGTGGTACAGGTGAATTGGGTAAGATAAATTCTGTAAGATAAAGTCTGTAGTGTATGTGTGTGAATGAGTGTGTATGGGTGTTCCCCAGTGATGGGTTGCAGCTTTAAGGGCATCCGCTGCATAAAACACATGCTGGATAAGTTGGCGATTCATTCCACTGTGGCGATCCCTGAATAATACAGGGACTAAGCCGAAATACGAATTGTATTTTTGTTTGTGCCCCTCCACTACTCAACTATACGGGTGGACGATTTGTTTCGCTCTGAGGAAAATAAGGATTAAATGAATGCTTTAGTGTGATTGCATTACAAACCTCAGTTATATATTCGCTATTTTTTTATGTCATTACTTCAAAGATTATGTCTTGGGCCTTTGATTTTTCCTCGGTGCTTATGTGCTTTCATTTTCTCCTTCTCACTCGCAGCAAGTTTAACCGAGGGAGTGTTTAATAAGCAACCCTGACAGGAAAATATACATTTTGATTTCAAAGAAAATATCTTAATATTACAAAGGAATCCTAAGTTTGATCCTATCTATGTCTTTACGAATGCCCTTAAATAATGTAGTTATTAGTTGTCTGCAAGCATCAGTGTTTATTGAGACTGAAATAAGATTTTAAAAAATTAGAAATATCGTTATAGCAACACTTGTGGGAAATAACGTTTATCGTAGACGTCACGGGATGACTGATCGTGAATGAACGTGTAGTCTGGCATACTTGTTACCCACGAGCACCCGGGGGAAACCCATACCAACACGGGGAGAACATGCAAACTCCTCAAAGAAATGCCAACTGACCCAGCCTGCACTCGAACCAGCGACCTTCTTGCTGTGAGGCGACAGTGCTAACCACTAAGCCACCCCTGTATTATATTATATATTTTTTAATCATTAACATTGAAGATACAGATAATAGAAACCTATTTTTCACTGTAAAAGGGCTGACCCCTCAATACATCTTGTTTTGATGCCCTTCAGGGGGATCAAGCATTGTTTAGAGGGGTCAATCCCCCCATACCCCCCTGTAATTCCTACCCTGCTTGCGATCCCCTTGTACAACACTATTAAATAAACCTCTCAGGATGTTTAATACTATAAAATTTGTCCAGGAGGTAGCAGTATAACTGATAAACAGTGCCAAGAGAGCAACCACATCTCTGAATGCTAATCGGCTAGTTTTAATACAATGAATTCGGATATTATGGTTTAAGCTGAGAACACTGATAACGGCAGTGTTTATATTTTTGGTTTGCCAAATGTGTATAGCTATGATGTCTTTTTTCCTCAGTACTTGTGTGTTTGTGTTACAGTGAAGGCAAAATAACTGAGGCAATTGAATTATGGGAGAAGTATGTTGAGACATGTAAAAGCAGCAAACATGACCAAAACCTGGAGAGAGCCTATATGAACCTCGGACACATCCTCAAATCTCAGGTAAGAGAGAAACTCGGTTTGATATTAGAATTTGTTGCAGATTATAATGACTTGGAAGTTGTATATTCTAGTCAAACTCTGAAGACTGATGGAGGATTTGTTGGGAATAGATTGGATTGATGTGGTTTAGAGTCAGTGGATCTCATGTGATTGGCATGTTGATCCCGCCCTTATACCAGTGAACACCAATCAGAGAAGATCAGAGATGTCATTGAAGTGGGAGGGGAAACGATTAAGGCCCAATCCCAATTCTATTTTTGTACCCCTACTCCTTCCCCTTGGCTCTTGAAACAGAGTGTGAAGGGGAAGGGCTTCAAATTTTACCCCTGACCGTGCGTTCACACCGAAAGCGGCGATGGTGTTAAAGTAGCCGGAAGTCATTTATTTTTAATAGCAGCGCGGCATGTTTTCGCCGGTGTGGGTGTCAAGCAGTGTTGCCAGATGTAACCGACTGTTTACAGCCAATCTAAAACCTGCTGAAAGCCTTGAAAGCACAGCCAAACAATCTGTAGACTATAATAACCTGCTAAGGAGCAGGGTTGGAGGTGGGGGGGATGGGGAGAGGGTGTGTCTCGTTGGGAGATTACAACTGTTGTAAGCGTTTGTATGTGGAGAACTGGGGCTATGGCACCTGTTTGGGAGATCAGAACAGGTTTATAAGTGAAGACGGGCTGGCGGGCATGCCGTTACAAAACGCCCAATTTTACACTACCCGCCTATGTCATTTTTACCCGCAAAAATAAATTCAGACCCGCCCAATCTGGCAACACTGGCGTCAAGGAGAGTTGAAATCAAGCTTTATGGTAATGAGTTATGACATGGTTCAGCGGCAACCAATTGGAATGTAGAAGTCCACCGCTTGAGAGGAGTCCAGAGAACACAGCTCTGTGAACTTTGGTCCCGACCAGTTGTTCTCAAGGGTTTGATTACAGTTCATGGACCAGTTTCTTCCTCCATTTCACAAGTGGAAGTAACTTTAGTGCGATTAAAATGGCTGCCTCCTTGTTTTCTCTAGCTTGCAAATGATGTATTTAACTGTGTCTTGTTACTTGGAACTGCTTGTACTGTATCAGGCTAACTCTTTATATTGTCATTTCGCGTCTAAAACCATGTTGAAAACGCGACGCATGCAGCTTTGTTTAGATTTAAATGCGTTCGTGAGCTCACGATCCTATGCCGTTTGTCATCACTATGGCCACCATCAGCTGTTCCTACACTTGTGCGGTGGTCAAGTTTCAAAAGAGTTCAGCTTTTGCCGCTGTGTACTGAATGTGTACTGAATTTCCATGAAATTACGGGAGGGCCGGGTTTCCGGGTGGCCGCTACGGTCCAATCCTATACCAATGTTGGCGATCTGGGGCTTTCACTGACCGTACCAAAGTGCTGAGGACCAGGGAGTGGTTGAAAATATCCCCCACACCATTACACCACCAGCAGCCTGAACTGTTGATACAAGGCAGAACGGATCAATGCTTTTATGTTGTTGTTGGCAAATTCTGACCCGACCCTCCGAATGTCACAGCAGAAATGGAGACTCATCAAACCAGGCAACGTTTCTCCAATCTTCTATTGTCCAGTTTTGGTGAGCCTGTGTGAATTGTAGCCTCAGTTTCCTGTTCTTAGCTGACAGGAGCGGCACCCGGTGTGGTCTTCTGCTGCTGTAGCCCATCCGCCTCAAGGTTGGATGTGTTGTGTGTTCAGAGATGCTCTTCTGCAGACCTCGGTTGTATCGAGTGCTTCTTTGAGTTACTGTTGTCTTTCTGTCAGCTGAAGCCAGTCTGGCCATTCTCCTCTGACATTAACAAGGCATTTGCGCCCAAAGAACTGCCGCTCACTGGATATTTGTATCCCATACTTCACACTGGATATATGGTTGTGCATGAAAATCCCAGTAGATCAGCAGCTTCTGAAATACTCAGACCAGCTCGGATTGCACTAACCATGCCACGTTCAGTCACTTAAATCACCTTTGTTCTCCATTCTGATGCTCGAACTGCAGCAGATCATATTGACCACGTCTACATGCCTAAATGCATTGAGCTGCAACCATGTGATTGGCTGATCAGAAATTTCCTTTAGAGCAGTTGGACAGGTGTACCTAATAAAGTGGCCGGTGACTGTAGACATGTTTTTTATTGATACGAAGCAAAAGTGTTAATTTGTAAACGATTAATGTACATTACTTCGCTACAGCAATGCACATGTAAAATCATGAAACGTATTTTAATTTTACAACATATGACATCAATATTATGTGTGTGTGTGTGTGTTTGTCCAGAAGCGGTACGGCGAAGCTCGTGTGTATTTTGAGCGCGCGTTTGAGCTTGTCTGTCTTGAGGGTTGTCCGAGGAGAGTGCAGGAAGCTCAGGTGTATGTGGGCATTACTCGTGCGCTCAGCACTTTTCCCGCATATATGAAACTCATACAAGACCAGAACTTAGACGCACTACTCGCCTGGAAGGACAGGCGAGAGGACCGCTTCAGTTCGGCAGCATCAAGTGAGCCAGAGTCAACAGCTCTGTCTAACACTGTCGTTCCATGACTCGCACTCTCTACTGGAAATGAAGAGTGGACTGATGAAATGTCTAAATAAAGTATTGGGTTAATGAGCCCTTTTGGTTTAAAGGGCTCTAATTTTAGTCTTTTAACAAGATGTTAAATAAGTCTGTGACATTTCGTTCCACTGTAGGTCCACGCTTAAACTTAAACTGTATTGTCAACAATATCGTTATCGCAATAAACGCCAAAACATATGGCTCTTCCATTCAGTGTTGTGTTCTTATTTATGATTCGTTCCACCGTGGCCCAGCGAGACACGACGTTTCATTCCACTGTATGTCCACACATGTAGCGAAATGACATGACAGCTCAACTTCATTTAAATAGTCAATAATATCGTTATCGCAATAAATATAAAAAATATCGGTTTTTCATCCATATTCTCCATCTCTAAATCCAGTGGTCTGCAGACTGTATAAACCCATCTGTTTTAAGCTGCATCTCTGAAGCAGTAGCCTGATCTTGCGAGGAAACGTGACTATTTAACGCACAGGTGTCAAACTCAGTTCCAAAAGGGTCGCAGCTCTGCACAGTTTAGTTCCAACCCTAACTGAACACACCTGATCAAACTAATTGAGTCCTTCAGGCTTGTTTGAAACCTACAGGTAAGTGTGTTAAAGCAGGGTTGGAACTAAACTGTGCAGTAAAAATTGAGTTTGACACCCCTGATTTAACGTTTTGTCAGTTTAGTGCAGTGGTGCTCAACCCTGTTCCTGGAGATCGACCTTCTTGCAAAGTTCAGCTCCAACCCTGATCAAACACACCTGAACCAATTAATTAGCACCTGAACAGCACTTGATAATTACAGACAGGTGTGTTTGATATGGGTTGCAACTGAAATCTGCAGGAAGGTCGATCTCCAGGAACAGGGTTGGTCACACCTGGTTTAGTGGCTTATCATAAGATTTCAGTCATACAAAAATGTATGATTTTTTTTTTTAAATGGCGTGAGAAAAACCCTCTATAATGTTTTTTTTCACTCAATAAATATATAAAAATACACTGGCTTTTATTGTGTCATGTACAAAAACACAAGTGTACCAAAAGAAAAACACAAGAGTACAAAACAGGTCTTCCCCTCTCCTCAGTGAACACAGTCTATAATAAGACACCTGATGAACTGCATTTCCATACACAGAGTTCATCTGAAATGCTGGAGAGTCACTCGGTATGCATATTAATGATGGAAATGAAAATATGAAAGCGGTGGGGCTGCTGAAAGAGGAATAACAACAAAGTCTTACAGTAATGTAGAATTTCACTAGATTTGAAGACTAGTACAGGATTGTGAACAACTCATCTTGTTTCAAAGGGACAGTTCACCCAATAAATGAAAATTCGGCCACGTTCAAAACAGTTTCTTTCTTCTGCTGAACACTTATTTTGAAGAACGCTGTGACTTTTTTGTTCTTATATAAATATATCAATGGCTGACAGTCTTCACAATATCTTATTCTGTTTAACAAGTAATTGTTTTGCATGAGTGTATTGATTTTCTGAGGGGGTGAATGATCTCTTTAAATGACACTAATGTACATGTGAAGGTAAAACCGAATGAAAATAGTGCAGGGATGTCAAACTCAGTTCCTGGAGGGCCGCAGGCCTGCGTAGTTTAGTTCCAAACCTAATTAAACACACCTGATCAAACTAATTAAGTTCTTCAGGCTTGTTTGAAACCTCCAGGTAAGTGTGTTGAAGCAGGGTTGGAACTAAACTGTGCAGGGGTGTTGCCCTCCAGGAATTGAGTTTGACATCCCAGCAATAGTGGTTTGAATTGAAAGATGTGCTTGTGAATATCTGATCATTGGCATTCCTGTAAACATTTTACATAAACGGTCATCTAAAAAGAGAGAATGTACACTATAAAAAGAGAAGCCCCTTTAATCTCAGGCTAAACGGTACACATTTTAAAATCCGGGTCATCGTAGTACTTTCATCATGTTCTCAACATCTCCAAACCAGCATAGTATAAAACAAACAGATCAACAATTAATAAAAGTCATTTAGTCTCTTACATTGCTGCAACTTTCCTGTGAAACACAACAGGTCTAAAAGGCATAATGTTCACGCATTTCAATTTAGATTGAAAGACCAGATCAAATTATTACACACTATAATGCAGTGTTTCCCAACCCTGTTCCTGAAGGCACACCAACAGTACACATTTTCAACCTCTTCCTAATCAAACACTCCTGAATCAACTCAGCAGAACATTAGAAGACTCCAAAACCTGAAGTTATTGGGTCAGATAAGGGAGACATCTAAATGATGCATTGTTGGAGTGCCTTCAGGAACAGGGTTGGGAAACACTGCTTTAGACTCATATATGCATCAAAGGGTTAATGTAACTCCATAGTTGAAAAGAAACTCAACGGTCAAGTAAGATACAGTAAGTCAGAAGTCAGTCGGTTACTTTAGAGCAGTGTTTCCCAACCCTGTTCCTAAAGACACACTAACAATACACATTTTCAACCTCTTCCTAATCAAACAATCGTGAATCAACTCAGCAGAACATTAGAAGACTCCAAAACCTGAAATGAATGGGTCAGATAAGGACATCTAAATTATGTACTGTTGGTGTACCTTCGGGAACAGGGTTGGGAAACACTGCTTTACCCCCTATATATGCATCAAAGGGTTAATGTAACTCCAGAGTTTAAAAGAAACTTTACGGTCAAGATACAGAAAGTCAGAAGTATCACTTTAGAGCAGTGTTTCCCAACCCTGTTCCTGAAGGCACACCAACAGTACACATTTTCAACCCCTCCCTAATCGAACACACCTGAATCAACTCAGCAGAACATTAGAAGACTACAAAACCTGAAGTTAATGGATCAGATAAGGGAGACATCCAAAATATGTACTGTTGGTGTGCCTTCAGGAACAGGGTTGGGAAACACAGCTATATTGTACAGTGTGCAATAAACAACATCTTTTTAAAGTTCATTCAGAAATGAATATTCTGTCATCATTTACTCGCCAAATTTAAATGTTTATTTTATCAATCCTGTTTGAGTTTCTTTCTTCTGTCGAACACTAATGACGTACTGAAGAACGCTTGAAAAAAACAGCCATTGACTTCTATAGCATCTTCAACTACTTTTTTCTAATGTTACTCAGAATATCTGGTTTTCTGTTCAACAAGAAAAAAATCATAAAAATTCAGAACAATTTGAATGAGAATTGAAATTTTGGGGTGAACTACCCCTTAATTTAAACTGAATTGTGCGACATTGCAAAAAGGCCTTTCTTATTTAGTTTTTTTGACTTGTTTCTAGTCTAAATACCTTAAAAAAGCCTAAATACAGAAGCATTTTAGACAAGTAAAAATATTGTTTTGATAATCTATCAAAATTAAGATACAATTTCCTTAAAACACATGCTAATGGTAAAAACGAGAACAAGATTATTGTACTGGGCCCTCTGGCACCTTATTTAGCTTGTTTTAAGAAAAAAAACTCATATTTCTGAAACCTCATTTTTGACCTTTGATTTAAGATTTTTAGATATCTGGACTAGAAACGAGACAAAAACTTTAGGATATCTTGTTTTGTGTTCAACAGAAGAGAAAAAAAATCATAAAACCTTTCTTACTTGATAAACTACGAGGAGTTTGTCTCGTTTTTAGTCCAAATACCTATAAAGTCTCTAATCAAGAAGCAGTTAGAAATACTGTCTTGTTTTAAGGAAAATTTATCCTAATTTCGATTTATTAATTCTGTAAACAAGCTAACTTACATGCAAGTGGTGAAAAATGAAAAGATTATTGTACTGAGCCCACTGGCAGATTATTCAGCTTGTTTTAAGAAAAAAACTCACTTATTTCTGAAAACTCCATTTTTGACCTTCGAGTTGAGAATGTTTAGATATTTGGACTAGAAACGAGAATATCTTGTTTTGTGTTTAACAGAAGAAAAACAAAATTATAAAATCTCTCTTACTTGATAAACTATGAGGAGTTTGTCCTGTTTCTAGTCTTGTTTTCAGAAATACTCAATCAAAATTAAGATCGATTTCATTAAAGGAAACTAACTTATGTGCTAGTGGTGAAAAAACTAAAATATTATTGTACTGACCCCTCTAGCAGATTATTTAGCTTGTTTTAAGAAAAAAAAAAAAAACTAATTTTTGACCTTCGAGTTTAGAATTTAGATATTTGGACTAGAAACGACACAAAAACAAACTTTTCAGATTTTCTTTTCTTCTGTTGAACACAAAACCAGACATTCTGAATCTTGTTTTGTTCAACAGGGAAAAAAAACCCCAGAAAAAGTTTAGAACCATTTAAAAGCGAGACTATTTGAGTGAACCACCCCTTTAATTAAACTGAATTGTGCGACACTGCAAAAATGTTTCTCTTATTTAGGTTTTCACTTGTTTCTTGTCCAAATAAAAATAAAAAATTCTTAAATCAAGAAATAAAAATATTGTTTTTTTTTTCAGAAATAATAATATAAATTAAAATTAATATAAACTTTCCTTAAAACAAGCTAAATTATGTGCCAAAAAACTATTATTTAGCCTGTTTTAGGAAAAAAACTCACTTAATTAGACATATTATATCATATATAAAATATAACATTACATTTCTGAAAACATTTTCAACTTGCAACCTAAATCCCTGTCAATTTAGGATTTGTAGATATTTGTACTACAAACAAGATAAAAACGAATTTAGAAAACCTTTTCGTTAGTAAATTGTGGACAATTCGCCTTGTGTTTCACTGAACTCAGACACTAAACCCCAAAAGTCTGGGATTCTTGCAGCTCCAGATATGGTTGATGAGGGAGTTAAATGAGCAGAGACGGGGTGGGCTTCTTCCCAGGCCATGCCTCTTTGGCGTACTTCTTCTTGCGGGGTTCGTTGAGGACGTCAGATACGTATGGGCCGGTCATCGGTGTGGGATTGAGCATGAGCGGCGGCGGTGGCAGCGCCTCATGGGTCGGGTCTACATCCGGGGCTGGGTTCGGCATTGGTAACATCATTCCACCCAGGATCGTAGCTCCGCCGGGACCTGCTGTAGACTGAGCTTCATGTCCGGCAGGAGGAAGGTCTCTGTACAGGCCGCCTTGCAATGGGAATGTGTGCATGTGTCGCGCTACCGTTTCCTCAATTCCCAGCGCGTTACTGCCGCCTGCTTTCTTTTTCTGTCGATTAAACAAACTCGCATGTAGTTCACCCTCTGTTTTAGCATACGGCTGAATGATTCAAGATTAGATGTTTTACCTTAATAGGAACGACAGCGGTTGAGACCATGTTTCTGAAGCGGCCAACAGAGGGGTCGACATCCTCTGAAAGAGTTCACAACACAAACGCTGTTCAAGCTCACATGAAATCAAAACTAGCCATGTTGATATTGTTAGCTCACATTGCTAGTTTTGTGGTGAACAATTCATCTGCGCGTGTCATTAAGAAAATAACAATAGTTTGCCTCTTGTAATCTGAAAATGCACTTCCTCTTTGTTTTAGGGTAAATTCTCAGATTAGGCCTGTCTGAGGTACCGGGTGTGGCTAACATACTTAACCACGCCCCTTCAGCTGTCAGTTACGACAACAAACAGAAATGGTGAGCAGGGGTCTGTTTAATTAGCTGGATTTGGTTAATGTTAATTTGACGATTTGATTTCGTTCTTCAAAATTCATCCGAGAGCTGTTGTCATTGCAACGATTCTGGTAGCTCAAACTAGAGGTCTGCATTTACCCGACCAGATTTCTTTCGCCGCGGAAATAATTTTCCGAATAAATCGCGAGATCGACTGGTAACTGGTGTATTTTTGGACGGGAGTGGGTGGTCTAGCAATATCGCTCCCGACTCCCAAGCAAGCAAGCACATGTATGTATGAGTATGAATGAGACAGCATGATGCTGCGTTAAGCTTGTTGCTGTCTGTGTGTATGTGTGTGTGCGTGTGTGTGTGTGTGTGTGAATGAGAGAGTGGGATGTTGCTGTCTGTGTGTGTCACTTGCTTGGCGCTGTGTTATGTGTGTGTTTGTGTGTGTGTTTATACAGTGTGTTATAGGCTGCCTGGACTCTGTATAGCTGGGTGGTTTTCGGTTTTGTTCTCCCCCACTCCCATTAGCGGGAACAGGCGCGGCGGGTAAAAAAATGGAGCTGGTCGTGTCGCAGGACTACAAATGCTGAATATAAGCGGGAGCGAACAAAAACTTGTTGGGTGCGGGCTGAAGCGGGATTCAAAATTTAGTCCCACACAGATCTCTAGCTCAAACCTGCTCGGGAGCAGGTTTATTTCTTATATTGGATTAGATCGGGTCATTTCAAGCAAAGGTAATACTGAAAGTATATACAGAATGCTGATATTTTCTTACAGAAGTAACCTATAGATTTTATACACTTGAGGGAAAAAAGTTAAAGTTTTTTAAAAGTTTGATGTTTATATACATATCAATTGAAATTTTATATATATATATACATATATATATATATATATATATATATATATATATATATATATATATATATATATATATATATATATATATATATATATATATATATATATATATATATATATATATATATATATATAAAACTTAGTAAATAGAAGTAGAAAAACAAAATGGTTCTCCCCAACAATCACATTTATTAATATGGAATTTTTTTTAGATACAAATGCGTACTATTTAAAGGTTCTAATTCAGCTTTAGTACAATTTCTGAAAGATTGAAGACATAAACAATATTCAACTGTTTTTTGTTTGTTTTTATAAAGAAATAATAATTGTTGCAGTCATGCACGTGTTTTGACAGCTAATATGACAGTGATTTGATGCTTTGCAAAAGTTGCAGACGCCTATACTGATATCAAAATGCTTTTTTGATGCAAAATTTATTTAAACTCCCTACACTTATTAAGAAACTAAAGTTGGCCTAGGCTACTATAATAAAGAAAATCTAAAATGTAAAACTAAATAAATTGCTAAATACTCTTGACGCATGAAAGTGTAAAGCCTGCAGCCCACAACAAATGTTTACAGTTAATGCGCATCATATTTAACAAACTTTGATGCAATTGTTTTCACCTGGATAATTGAATATTAATCAGATGATGTCATCACTCCGCTGCGCCGTCAGCCAATCATTGCATTGTTGATCATGGTTTTTGAGGATCGATAGACAGATAGCGTGTTCACAAACACGCAGATCTCCGATAACTTCAAGCAGACAAATTGAATCTGATTTGCAAACTTGTTTAAACAACCAAATTAACCAGAGATCAGTTATTAAGATTAAAATCCTTAAAATATCTGAGCTATAAACTGTTCTCCCAGTATCGCGGTGTTATTTAATTGTTTGTAACAAACTGAAAAAGTGTAAAAACTGAATCTCTCCAGATCAAACACAGATTTTAATGCAGCGCTACGAAGGATTAATAAACATTTGCAAATCACCATCAGTTATCATTTATGTTGCGTGGGTTTGAATTGAGATCCCGATCTTTTAATGTTTAATTGCGCAGCTTTACACTGAATGCATTAATGCAGGCTAAACAATCAGTCACAGAAAACACTACCCAAGACACTAATACTAACTTGAAGCATTAAGGTCCTGCCACAACTTTTTCCGTCATCATATTTTACAGGGAAGCTAAAATGCTTTTATACACATGATTTGAATGGCGCGGGAGGCGATCTCTCTGCAATCATTATAAATGTTGGATTAACCTACAAAGTACACAAAAGTTATTAATCCGCAGGTCACGTGAGTTCCAAACTGTGTTGTGATCTGTACGGACCGCGGATCAACCGTCATCCGTTACACCCCAAGAAATAAGCAGCTGCTCCTGAGCAGGTTTGAGCTACTAGACCTGTTGTTATCGACAATAACCAAATCCAGCTAATTGAGTAATCCACATAAGAAGAACAGATAGCATAATGGAACAAAACAAAAAGGTTTACATGGGTCAGTTTAAGGTCAGTTTACCTGGGTTTATGATCTCATCATCTTCATTGAAGGACACTCTGGAGCTCCTCCTCTTCCTCTTGGGCCTCTGGATATCCAGGTTGCCCTCCTCTATGGTGAGGGTGGAGATGCGCTTGTTATGAGCCGTGTTGAACTCAGTGAGGTTCTGCCAAACAGAGAGAGAGATTTGTTTGTTATTTACAGCCACGTCAGCAACTTATGGTGTATATTTCATGGCAAGATCAATATAGATAAAAAACATTACGTATGAGGCTGAATAGAGCCAGGCAGGTTTATCGGTAGCCCAATGCACTATTAAATAATAAGACTAAAGGTGAAAACAACTCCTGGATGTACTTTATCCCGCTTATTACAATCCTACTTGCCAAAAAATATAAAAATTTGACAGAAACAATGTTCCAAGCTGTAATAGTTTATTAATTCTTAAACGCAAAGCTGACAAAAACAAAAAAGCTGATGGAGTGTACACTAACCTGCGCATTAAGCCTGGTTTAGTTCGAGTGATCGGCGTGACCCACGGTGCCTGCCTTGCACTTTTATAGTTCTGCGTGCCGTTTGTGTTGCGCTGCAATAACACTTCCGAAACACTAGCTAGCAGGAGGTGTTCATGTTTGTCGAGTTTCTTGATTTTTTGGACACTACAAGTAGCTAAAACTCGCTCATTCTGAGGCGGGAACCAGCAGACGTGGTACAACTTTAATCATGAGGTAAACACAAAACAAAACTCTCCATCTGGAGCTTTTCACGGGACTGGACACTTGTAAACACTCGCTCCATCGTGCTCGTGGCTCTCAGCACTTCTCACACTTGTTACCGCTATCAAGCCGACCAATTACAGAACTTGTGCTACGTGTTGTTGCAACGTGTAGTTACATTTTTTGAGAGGTGCATGTCAACGTCAGGGCTATGTAACCACGTGAAGGCTGCACCGGACCATACGTGTGCGCTTGACGCAGAAAGAGAGAGAGTTTTAATTTTATTGCCATTTCAGCTTCTATCGCTATGTCATGGCAAAAAGAAAATAGATCAAGTTTATCACGTTTTATAAATACCCATTTTTTATATAATTATAAAAATATTCTAACAATTAAAAGTCATTAACAGCAATAAATAATGTCCCAGGTAAAATACATAAAAAACAATAATAATGATAATATATAAGATAAATTCTAAAACAGTTTTTTAAAGTTTCCTTTTGATAAAAATTTCACAATTTTAGATGGATTCACATTTAGAAATATTTTCTTTAAAATCTCTCCAGATAAATATTGTTGTCTGATAACATTAAAAATGGGTCATTCCACAAGATTATGCTTAACAGTTTGGTTTCTGTTGAAATAAAGACATTTTGGTGGTCCTTCTCCTTTAAGTAAATGTTCATGCGTGAGTCTCGTGTGTCTTCTATAAACAATCTCATCGTGTCTTGACTTAAAAAATAAATTAGATTTTTTCCCTATTTCAGGCTGAATTTCAAAAAGTTTATTTTCTGGGCACTGATTCCCATTTAATTCAGTCACAAAATGGAGCCAAACTGTCAAAAAGCATGGCATAACAGATGAGCAGGTACATATAAATATGAATGCAAGTGTGTAGAGGTGAATGTATTCACTGGTATTCACTAATTCAGCAGTTTTAATTTAATGTAAAGTAATTGTAATAAAAATTTTAAACAGCCGTTTAAAACTGCCGGCCCGCAGGCCATTTGCTTTTCCCCACCGTCCCACAACTGACTTAAAAAATATAACGAGATTTGGCCCAAGAAAACAAATATTTTTGAATCACTATCATTGTTGTGCAGTCGCATATAGTCACTTGTGGTTTTGACCCTTTGCCTCTACTGGCCATTTAAAGTACTGTACTATATATCAAGGTTACTTTGGGTTTCTCTCAGCGTGCGGTCAAGAGTAACTCACATGAAGATTATTTCTGGGGATGACTTAAACGTTGAAATACATGTCCGTAAGTGCTCTATTTTTAACTAAAGCTGTGTTTTTGTAAATATTCAAGGGCTATTTGATTATTATCAGTTATATACCACTTGTATTTTGTTGTGCAAATGCTTCTCCATGTCTCACACGTAATGTTGGTGGTGTAAATATGATAATTTTGCTAATATTTGATTCAGATGGTCTCATTAATGGGTTTTCCTTATATGCATGTTAAGATTTGTATAAAAAATGTGCATTAGTAAAGTTTTACTGCTGCCTGAATTGAACATGTTAAAGTAAATGTGAATATGTACAAACATTACCCCTCTTTATTATAGTTTTACAAATAAGACGCATATTGAGAAGAATAATTGCCAGTGAAGTAAACAAAGTTACCCAACCTACTTTCTACAGTCTTACGCTATCTGTTAAACTCTTGGTTAAGCAACAATTGATTGGGACATAATAAAAATTATTATTATTATGCCTATTATTAAATTGTAGTATTTTCATACCAATTTAAACTACCCCTTCAATTTGTACAACAAGACACAGAAAGGAGTGTTGACTGCATATACTGGGGAAGAATGTCTGAGTGCATCAATTATATCAGGTTTCCACTTGTGCTTGAATGTTAATTCCTATGGATTGTCAGTCACTGAGAAGGTCACTTGCCAATTTCAGTTTGAGACCCCTGACTTAAAGCCAACATGCTGCTTAAATGCCAACTTACTTACAATTACCATTAGCATTCATAATTCATTCACAATAAAAAGAAACTGTTCTACCAACTTTGCCATGGAGCAGAAAAAAAAACTGCTGGTCTGTTTATGAGCTAACATAAGAGCGATCCCCTGATGAATCGATTGATCTTCACGGCTTTAAAATGCTCCAGTGTCCCTGTATCTGTAGTTATACTCAGTAAACAGTGGTGAGTTTGGTGAACTGATGACCTTCACGGCCAATCACAGTCAGTTGAGCACGTGTGAACAACTACAGATCAGCGCTGTTTAAGAACGCGCTCAAATGTAAGTTGATGTTAATAAAATTTCAGTACCGATTGGTATCTAATTCCAGGATTGTGAGGACATTATCTTAAAGTAAGGGTAAAGAATAATTAGACATAAACTCATATTAAAGCAGACATGCACCTCCAGTTCGGTTTCTTCTTCTGGAAGTCCCAGAAGTCCCTTCAGCTCCTCGTCATCACCGGTTTTAATGTCCCCAACGCCAGCGCCTGGTTGAGCCTGAGGTTTCTCCCGAATGGTGTAAACACGAGTAGAAGCGCCAAACGACATGGTGGAGTCAATGGGAACCTGCTGGGGCTTGTGGGGCTCCAGCCGAATGTGTCCAAGAAATGTGCCATGTGCTACAGGAAGACAACATTGAAGATTGCTTAGAATGCTGTGTGAAAGTATTCCTGAAATCAAAACTTACCATATTAATCTTCTTAGCTCACATTGCTAGTTTGGTGGTGAACAATTCATCTGTGCATTTCATTAAAAAATAATAATAATAATAGTTTGCCCTTCTAATCTTTAATTAAAAATCTGAAAATGAACTTCCTGTTTGTTTTCAGTTACACACTCAGATTAGGTCTGTCTAAGGTTTTGGGTGTGGCTAACATACGTAACCACGCCCCCTCCAGCTGTCAACAAAAATAAATGGAGAGCAGGAACCCTTTTCACGATCTTTCTGAATAAAATGCCTACTTTACTACATCCAATCAGCTCACTGCTTTCTCTATGAATCTCTATGAACTGGATGGATGGATGGATGGACGGATGGATGGATGGATAGAGATACAGTTGACAATGGATGGATGGATGGATGGATAGATAAATAGATAGATACAGTTGATGATGGATGGATGGATGGATAGATAGATATATATTTGACAATGGATGGATGGATGGATGGATGGATAGATAAATAGATAGATACAGTTGATGATGGATGGATGGATAGATAGATATACATTTGACAATGGATGGATGGATGGATGGATAGATAAATAGATAGATACAGTTGACGATGGATGGATGGATGGATGGATAGATAGAGATACGGTTGACGATGGATGGATGGATGGATGGATGGATGGATGGATAGATAGATAAATACAGTTGACAATGGATGGATGGATGGATGGATGGATGGATGGATGGATAGATATACAGTTGACAATGGATGGATGGATGGATGGATGGATAGATAGAGATACAGTTGACAATGGATGGATGGATGGATAGATAGATATACATTCGACAATGGATGGATGGATGGATAGATAAATAGATAGATACAGTTGACGATGGATGGATGGATGGATGGATGGATGGATAGATATACAGTTGACAATGGATGGATGGATGGATGGATGGATAGAGATACAGTTGACAATGGATGGATGGATGGATGGATGGATGGATGGATAGATAGAAAGACAGACAGATGGAAAGACAGACAGATGGAAAGATAGATGGATAGATAGATAGATAGATAGATAGATAGATAGATAGATAGATAGATAGATAGATAGATAGATAGATAGATAGATAGATAGACAGACAGACATTCACTGACAGTGGGACAGGCTCACGCAGTTCAAACTCTGTCCTTTAAAATCGAAATCGATACCGGAATAAAACACTCTCCTCATAAGTTGGCTTATCAGCGCGCAGCTACATTGAAAACATGTGATTCGATTCATGCATTCTGATTGGTTTGTGGGAAATAGCTGCTTTTGCTGTCAAAGGCAAGTGGCGTTTAGAGGTTTTTGCAAACAAACTGTTATTTCTGAATGTGCTGATGCTGAGATTTAGATCACTTGAAGCATAAATATTTGTTGAACAGAATATTTGTTGTCAAGAATAGACTCTAGAATAGAACGCTGTGACCTTAGGTAGCTGCTAGAGGAGATAGAGCTAAAGCCAGAAGTTAACAAGAATTTATACTATTTATTAAACTATCCATTAATAGTATTTCATTAAAGTCTACCGCTACCCTAACCTCATGCATCACAGTGAAGTAAAACGGTAATTATACTGAGTATTATTCATATTATTAATTAAATTACCGATTAAATTGTATTTTATTAAACACCTACCCCCAGCCCTCACAGAAATGTAAAAATCTTAGTTATTGTTGTACGGAGTCACAAAAACTATGCTATATAGATGTGCATATCTGCAGCTGTATCCCATCTAGAGTTTACAGTGACTTGATTAAGTCTTGCAGCACTTACTGCTGTTAAGATCGATCAGAAAGAGTCTTTTCAGATGTCTGTGGTAGACGAGCGCCGCATGCACACGAGAGCACGACTGATGGTCGATGGTGAAGTCGCAGATGTCCGGGTTCCTCCCGAATAAATAAAACTTCTTCTCATCGATGATCAGTTTCTGCAGAGAGAAACACTTGAGTCAGCTGTTTGCATTCAAACTTATTTTACACGCGGCTTTAACAACACAATGAGATTAAATGGGTAGGACTGGAAAGTATGACACACTATTTAAGTATGACTAGAATACTAAAAATTAGTGATCGATTATTTGGGTATCAGTTTACAATATGGTTCCAACAGTTCAATCCTGAGATTTTCTGAAATAATGTGCTGTGTAATATCTGGCTTCTTTTAGCACTTTTCAGAGCTCTTCTTTAAGTTTTGAGCAGCAATCTCATTCCTGGAGGTCCGGTGCCCTGCAGGGTTTAGCTCTAACTTGCCTCAACACACCTGCCTGGGTGTTTCAAGTATATCTAGTAAGACCTTGATTAGCTTGTTCAGGTGTGTTTGATTGGAATTGGAGCTCAAATCTGCAGGACACCGGACCTCCAGGAACTAGTTTGGTGATCCCTGGTTTAGAGTGTCATAGATTTATTTTGCTGTCCAGTTGATCTCATACAACCTCAATAGTATTTAGGTCTGGACCCTGTGCAGGCCATTTCATGACTGTCTGTGATTCATCAGTTGTTTCTTTTCCCCAAATAAGACTGCACTGCAATTAGAGCACAGGTGTCAAACTCAGCTCCAAAAGCTCTGCACAGTTTTTGTTCCAACCCTAATTAAACACACCTGATCAAACTAATTGAGTCCTTCAGGCTTGTTTGAAACCTACAGGTAAGTGTGTTGGAGCAGGGTTGGAACTAAACTGTGCAGGGCTTCGGCCCTCCAGGAATTGAGTTTGACACCCCTGAATTAGAGGATCATTATCATGCTGAAAATGAAAATTATTACCACTAGAGTTGTTTCCAGAAAGCATTTAACGGATTAAAGCCTATCTGCACTTCATTACATTCACAATTCCATCAATTCAGACAATATTGCTAACATCACTGGTTGAAATGTAGCTCTCCAACATTGTCTTTCACATGTCTTAACATGTTTCACAATAACTTTGCTAATTACCCTAACCTGCCTAGTTACCCTAATTAACCTAGTTACGCCTTTAAATGTCACTAAGCTGTATAAAAGTGTCTTGAGGAATATCTAGTCAAATATTATTTACTGTTATTATAGCAAAGATAAAATAAATCAGTTATAAGAAATGAGTTATTAAAACTATTATGATTAGAAATGTGTTGAAAAAAATCTCTCCGTTAAACAGAAATTGGGGGAAAATAAACAAGGGGGCTAATAATTCAGGGGGGCTAATATTTCTGACTTCAACTGTACATACTGCAGAGAAACAAGTTGAGGTAAAGTTGGTTTTTATTCGCACATTTGTTCAGTGACAGCTGATAGTTTACCATGGAACTTTGAATATTCGGACTGGAATGACATGCAAGTAGGCCTTCAAGTCAACATGAGCACTATTTAATTGACTGTGAACAATGTTGCACTTTGACAGTCATTGACTGCTAATGTGAATTCACCATTTAGAATTTGCAATTAATACATGTATGAAACTATATGAATAAGGAGAAAGTCTGAATGTGCAAATATAAAACCAACTTTACCTCAATGAAAAACAAAACATTGCAACACAGTGCAGCCCTAGATGGCAGTCCTGATGTGCCCTTGAGTTATAACACCTGAGGAGTTCCTCTTTCTCAGGGCTTAAATCTCAGGGTCTTGTGTTTTTTGTTGCACCGGTTTGGACCTGACAGCCACAGTCATGCAGGCATCAGTGTGAAAAAAACTGAGCTGCTGGCAGACAGGTCAGTATCTGGTGCATCCAAGTCTCCTGCAGGAAAAGCCATCAATAGCCTTAGATAGGTATAAATTCATATATGGGGACAATTTGGTTACTTTAATTAAAGTTATTTCACAATTGACAATCTCAGTGGTGATGATGTCATTGACCCATGAAAATGTCTTGCTTGTCGTGAAACTAAATTTTAGAACAGTGACAAGATAATCAAGTCATAAGTAACAATAACAAAACCATCTTGGTTTTTGTATCAATATGTGGACTTTTTGCAACATGCTATTGCTGTGTTGTTAATCTAACGTAAACACACAATCCTATGAAAAAGATTATAATAGTTTTGGATTTTTCATTAGTTTTTATTTCGTTTAGACTTTTTGCTTCCAAATTGAGTTAGTTTTAATTTGTTTTTAGAGGCAGATTTACTAGTTTTAATTAGTTTCTATATATTGAAATTATTTAGTTAAATTTTTTTGTTTTATTTTAGATTTTACTAGTTTCAGCATTAGTTTTTTGTTTGTTGTTTTTTTTAAAATAAGATATTTGTTAGGTGCAAGATTCAGAATTAATTCACCCAATTAAATCACCACCATGACCTGAAAAGTTTCTTACAAACAAGTTTTGCAACCTAATTAAAGCCCGATTCACTTATTTAAATTCCATTACGACTTTCTGTTAAGAAATAAGCTTTTGTTTGACCAGATCATCTCATTTAAGTCGTCGGTTTACCCGCGCTGCAGTTGTCTAGTTCAGTCCTAGCAGGCTGCCATGTACTGTTTGTGTTCGGTTCACTGACTCACGCATGCAGAGTATTATCGGTTCACCGGTTCTCAAATCAGTTATCTGTGTTTTCTGTTCTAATAATTGAATAACTCAGTATCTATTGGTTTATTTCGAGTCAGAGTGCGGTATTTGGCATGTAAAAATGAAGTATTTTGTGGATAAGTGCTAAACGTTACTGGAGATGCGAATCGCTTCAAATGATTTGGTTAAAATTGGTGAGTTAGTTCAACCGGTTCACTTAGAAGATCCGGTTAAAAAGAAAGATTTGTGGTCACGGTCACTAATAAAGAAATAAAACCCATTATTGGGCACAAATGTGTTAAATTAACAATTTTAAGTGTCTGCTTGGGTCGTATTTAATGTTTTCACTGTGCTGCTGTCATGCCCAGTCACTGTCTGTCGCGGGAGCAACAGCGAGGCTCACTGGAGGAGAACCGCTTGATCTGGCCAATAGCATCAGGATTATAGACTCTCAGGTGCCGCACGAGTCAAACACCTGGGCCTCATGTATCAACTCTGCGTATGCACAAAAAACTTTGCGTACACCAGGTACGCTCAGACACGCTCACGTTTGGATTTACTAACGATGAAATGAACATGGGAATGTGTGCAGCTCCACGCCAGCTTCATGCCTGGCGTACGCACATTTTTTGTGCGTGCCTGTTTTATTTCCATTGGCGACTCCTAGAGGCAGTTGTGTTAAATTGCACTCTACAAAGTGTCTTCTTAGCTGTATGAGACGGGTTCATCCGCATGTCTAGTATATAAGGTTTCTGTACCATACAGTTGACCATCCAAAACATTAAAGTGCAATTTGCAGCGGTCGCCGGTTTTCCCAATGTAATCGGAGCGATCTACTGCACACACATTTCTATAAAGGCACCATCTGAGGATGAATTTGCATGCGTGAATCAGAAACAATTCCATTCAATAAATGTGCAAATAATATAAGATGCACAGACTTATTAATGATTCCTACTTGTCTTCCTTGTGAGGAAGAGTATATAGGCAAAATGTGATAAGTAGTGGGGGGAAAAAGAATGAGTTCATCAGACGCTGGATTCGAACCGAGTTCATGCTTGAACGTGTCAAAACAGGTTGCCATGCATTTAACGAGCTGCGCCACTCAGGCTGTTAAAGACACTTCAAAATTTTACACGTATAGATCTCAGTATTTCTTTTTTAATCCACTCAGTGCGATGTTCAGACCCAACTGTGTTAACCGCATCAGCTAAACTCTCTCACTCTATTTGTTTCTTTTGTTATTAATTCCGGAGGACAAACTTGCAAATAACACCGTTTTTCTCCGGTCTACCTCCGAAAGCAGCCCCTCCAATCACATTCTGTTCAAAGTTTCTCTTTTCGCTTGCTTTTGCCGTTGCTTTTTCGTTGGGTTTTGCCAAAATAGAGTCATTAGCATATTCATACGGGGGAGGAGGCAGGGAGGGGTTTTGCGCTCGTGCATGTTGCGCTCAGTTTCACGTTCATTCAGATGTACAAACAGAATATGCGTGGGATTCGGCGTAAGCAGTGTTTCATACATCTGAATTTTTTTCTGCGTACGCACATTTACAGCTTTGTGCGTACGCAATGTTTTAGTATGATTTCCACCCAAGTCTTCGTACATGAGGCCCCTGCAGCATGGAGTAAATATATTCCAAAAGGATTACAGTCTGTATGAAATACATTTACAAAGACAAAAACGAAGGAGGTTTTAGTTATTATTTTAGTTACTATTAATTAGTTTTGTATGTACACAATACACTTTCAGTTCTAGTTTTTTTTTAATAACTCTCGTTTTTTTTCAGTTAACTAAAATAATTTTTCAATTGTAGTTTTTGTTTTTTGTTCATCTTCGTTAACTATAATAACTTTGATAGGCTGATGGCTGTTTATTTGCATGTTGTTGCTTTTTTGTGTAACTATTAGCTACTATTTTTATCTTCTGTGGGTTATGGATAAAAGACAGTCATTCTAATAGTTTAATCAAATTAATTTCGACTTTTGGAAATCACCAAGTGACCCCCTTGTATTATCATGTCACCCCCACTTTGGAAACCACTGATCTAAATGAATTACCTTCCAAATGGATTCAATTTCATATGGTGAAATCGTATTCGTATCGCAATATAAATCACAGAGAGAAAAAAAATATCACAGTGTCAGATTTTTCCAATATCACGCAGCTCTAGTATAGAGGATAAAAATGTAAAGCTTAATACATCTTTATTTTTTATGAAACTGTCTGAATATCCGAACATAAAACCCACTTTGCCTCTATATCCTTGATAAATAAGTCAACAACATTGTTCCCAGTCAATTAAACAGCACTAATGTTGTTTTGAAGTCATACTTGCACGTGATTTAAAAATACCATGGAAAACAATATAGTAAGATAGAGGTAAAGTTGGTTTTATATTGGGATATTCAGACATTCTCCTTAATAATAAAATGTAAGTAAAGTATTCTTTGCTAATTCTGAATAGAAAAATCATATTAGCAGCAAATGACTATCAAAGTACAGCATTGTTCACAGTGAATTAGATAGTGTTAATGTTGTTTAGAAGTCAGACTAGTATGCTAATTCCGATTGAATGTTCAAAGTAACATGATAAACAATATAGAGACTGCTCAATGAACGAATATAAAACCAACTTTACCCCTATTTTTGAAAAGCAATACAAGACAGATATGTTGATTTGCTTACATTTACTGTTTCACCTTATCTATATAAATACATTTATTACCTCAGACTTTTGACCAGTAACGTTAGTACATTGTATAAATATTAATGCAATACCTCAACAAGTTTATCTCCTTTCACCACGTCCAAATGCAGCCCTGCTGGAGGCTTTCCTGCCCTGAAACAAAATCAAGCCATGACCTCACGTCCAAACAACCCAAACATAATGAAATATGATCATGAATAACGCATTCGACATCCGACTGTTCTCCTTTTAAAAGCAAAACCTCTTTAGTGCACAATGAATGATGTTAAACAAGTTTGAGCTCCAGCAGTTTGGCGGCAGAGCTCTGCTAAAGAGCATTCATGCTAACAGCTCGACTGTTGTTCCTACGCTGGATAAGACCCAAACTTCACCCGAGCACTAACATTAGCATGTATTGTAGTGTTTTTACCATGAAGGACAGTCAAAATATGGATTCTTCTCTGCAGTATTTGTTGCCATTGTCACACATTCTTCTTTACAGCTACACACACGCCGAGCACTCTGGGAAAAAATAAGTGAACGGACGAGGGAACGTCTTCCGGTCCATGAATATTAAACGCGACGTCTCTTCAGATACTATTGACACTCACAGTCCTTGGTTCCTCCAGGCTGTGAGGTGGCGGTAATGAGTTTTCAACCGCCATTAAACCTGACTGCTGAAGAAGAAGGAGTCTGAAAAGATCGAGCTGTTTGAATTGCTTGAAATTAAAACGTAAAGTTTTTATTTATATGTCTACAATATACATGTAAATGCTATATCTGGGATCATTTGTTTAATAGTATATAAACGAAACTGCCGAGTAGTAGCAACGATATATTCGCTAAACCGCCATCATGAGTGATTGTTTACATCTCTGAATCAAGGTGAGTAACGATGACATAAAATTATAGAGGTAAAGTTGGTTTATATTCTTACATCCGGACTTTATCTTTAATAATACAGTTTATAAAAGTATTTGCTAATTCTAAACAGAGTAATTGTATTAGCAGCCAACGACCATGAAATTAAAACATTGTGCTAATTGTGTCAATAACATAAGTTAGTGCTAATGTTGATTTCAGACCCAATAAAATAGCGTGGTAAACAATATAGGGATGTTAAAATTGATGAATGTGCAAATAAAAAGCCAACTTTATCCCAATTTCTTGGAGTATGGGTGGAAATGATGCACACATAAAGAAGCTAACAGACAAATGGCATGGGTTTATTTGAAAGCAAAAATACAACAGAAAATAGTATACTGCACAATATGGAGGACGAAACCTGCAAAAACAATAAATAAATGAACACACAAATAAGTAAACAAATAAATTAATAAACCCACAAGTTCCTGCCTAAAACAATGATTAAATACCCTAAATAAATAGACAAATCCACAAATTCCTGCATAAACAAAAACAATGAATTAACAAATAAATATATGCACAAACATATAAATATATGTAAAAATTCTTGCATAAATAAATATGTAAGTTATTAATAATGCAGGTAGATAAATCAACTTTCAGTTTAGCATTTACTTATTCCCCAAACATTTATTTCATTATTTATCTGCCCGCACTATTCGTTTTTTATATATTCATGCAGGAATTTGTAGATATTTCTTTATTTGCATATTTATTTATTGTTTTATTTATGCAGGAGCTTTGTGGATTTATTCATTCATTTATTTGTGTATTTATTTTTTTATTTATGCAGGAATTTGTGGATTTATTTATTCATTCATTTATTTGTGGATTTATGTATTTATTGTTTTATTTATGTAGGAGTTTGTGGATTTATTCATTTCATTTATTTGTGTATTTATTTATTGTTTTATTTATGCAGAAATTTGTGGATTTATTTATTCATTCATTAATTTGTATATTTATTTATTGTTATTTATGCAGGAATTTGTGTATTTATTAATTAATTAATTTATTTGTGGATTTATTTATTGTTTTATTTATGCAGAAATTTGTGGATTTATTTATTCATTCATTTACTTATTTGCGTATTTATTTATTGTTTTTTGCAGGTTTCGTCCTCCATAGCACAATGCATAGACCAGTAATATGTAATGCCAGTATAGTGTACCATTCGGTTTTAGCATCTTTGCTTAAAAATGAGATGGAATAAAATATCAGTCCTTAAGAAGAGGATGTGGAGCCCTGAACATGACCATTTTAAGTCTCAGTGCTGCCGGTGGATATTCAGATGAACTTTAGAATAATAAAACACTCCAAGGTGCTGTACTGGTGTTCACTAAGGGGTTAATCTGAAACTCTTCCAGTTAAGGAGGAACAGACATAATCCCTAGTTACAGCCCTAGTTATTTTTACTAGAAACAAGACAAAACTATAAGTAAGAAAATAATTTTTTGTAAACGTATACTGCGGCCATGCAAACCGAATGGTCCATGTTAGATCAAGCCCACTCACCAGTGTGACACACACTTCATAAATGTTAAGCAAAGCCTTTTTCTAAGGCTTTCTGTTTTGTGTGTGTGCTTCAGATGATGGAGGATTTCTCGGGTCTGGCTCTGCCGCCTCTGTTTGGGGGTCACATTCTGGAAGCGGAGCTGGAGACGGGTGGAGTGGAGCTGGGCCCCGGAGGCACCGAGCTCCTGGAGACCGACGGGGCCCCGAGTGGCTCTGGGGATGAGGAGAGGAGAGAGCTGGACAGAAACAAATACCAGACGCTCAGCAAACGCTGCAAGGAGATCCAACAGGTGAACCCACAAAACATTAGAGAGTTCTCCTGAATAACTGTTCACAAAGATTGCATTTACACGCCATGCTTCAAGTCACCTAATTGAGAGTTTTCCATTTTCTTCATCTGTGTGTTGTGAAAATAAATATTAAACACGTCACCATTTTTCTCAGAAAACATCTTTAAACGTCTTTAAAGGTGCGTTGACTTTTTTTTTTTTCCCTGGAGGTTGATAATAATCAAATAAATCCATTTATGAAAAGAAAACAAATCTAATTAGCTTCCAAATGAAGTTATGTGTAATAAAATGAAAATGAATACAGACCCCCGTTTTCTATCAAATTACCGGAATTTTTTTACTGAATATCTCACAGATTTGGAGCATCGTGAAGATGAATAAATGATGTGTATTTTAATTTTTTAAAAATATTTATTTATTGAGCTTTTGCATTTACAGTTTAAATCATTACATTACCCCTACCCTACCAAAACCACGGTGTTGAAAGAAAAGAAAAAGTAAAAAATATATAAATACACACACACACACACATATATATATACACATCATTCCAGAGTTCCTGAGTTGACAGTGAGAAAACAGTGTACCATATTTGTTCAGTCCATATGTAGTCATTTAACATAAAATACTTGGCAACATCCAAAAAGGGAATATACAAAAGAGGTGCATCTTAATACAAAAAAAAAAAATTATATATATATATATATATATATATATATATGTATATGTGTGTGTGTGTATAAATATGTGTATATATATAAATATGTGTGTGTGTGTGTGTGTGTGTGTGTGTATATATGTATATATATATATATATATATACACACACACATATTTATATATATATGTATACATATATATAAATGATGAACAAAATGAAAAAAAATCTGAAATTAATTAATTATAATAAATAAAAAGAAATTATAAAAAAAAGAAATGTTGTATGTTCTCATTTGACATGAGGAGTTTGGTAACATCCAAAGAGTATAATATAGAAATAACATATAAGAGAAAATAAAATAAAAAATAAAAAAATTTCTAAAGGCCAGGGAGTTCTATAAAGTATTTAATAAAGGGGATCATTTGTCTAGGAACTTGGGTTTCGAGCCTCGAATCGTGTATTTAATCTTTTCCAATTGAATGTAAGACATCACTTCCTTTATCCAGCCAGCATGCGTTGAGGGGTCTACTCTTTTCCACTTGAGTAATATTAAACGTCTTGGTAGTAATGTAGTGAAGGCAATAACTGATAGTATGTCTTTACTGAGGTCTATATTCTCAGGCACGACACCAAAAATGCCCATCAATGGATCTGGGTCTATTGGAATGCTAAATATCTGTAATCCTCTTCCAAAACTCTTCTAACTTCAGACAAAATCAGAACATATGAGCAGTGGTAGCGGGTGATTGTGAACGTATATTTGTATTTTACTGAACTCTTTGATTAATCTGTTTTCAGGTAAATGAGAAGATTTTGGGACGCCTTCATCAGGTGCAGAGACTGACCCGCCGCATGAGGAAAGAAAGAAGGTGTGTGTTTGTGTGTGTTTTATTGACAGGAAAAATTAATTCTTTCATTTTCCTTTGGCTTAGTTCCTTAGTTATAAGGGGTCACCACAGTGAAATGAACCACCAACTTATCCAGCATATGTTTTACGCAGTGGATGCCCTTCCAGCTGCAACCTGGTACTAGGAAACATCCATGCACACTCATTCACAGACACACTCTCATACACTACGGCCAATTTAATTCATCAATTCCCCTATAGCGCATGTGTTTGATTTGGCGTTCACTCTTAGTTTTCGCTTAAAGAGAATATTGTATATGTTTATTTATTTTTCCATTATTATTGTTACATCTTTGTTCAAATCATCGAGTAAAAAGCTTAAATTCAGAATCGATTCGTGCATCATCCTTGATCTGACACACATTACATTTGTCTCGCCTAAATGTTACAGCTTTTCTTTTTAAACATGATCAACTCATACCAGGCCTGTATAATAAATCACAGTTTTCCAGTTTTCCGCTTTAGCAGGTCAAAATAATCAAAATGAAGTCATTTTTACGCCGAAATTATGTCAAGTTTTTTATAGTTGGTTTGAATATCAAAAACAAATATTGAGCTGAAACATCGAGTTGAAAATCAAAATCTGCCAGTTGTTGCTTCAGTTGATGCTTTCGGTAATACACATTAGCATTTATCATGTGGCAGCTCAGTGGGTAGCACAATCACCTCACAGCAAGAAAGTCGCTGGTTTGAGCCCTGGCTGGGCCAGTTGGTATTTCTGTGTGGAGTTTGCATGTTCTCCCCCTGTTTGCGTAGATTTCCCCCACAAGACCAAAGACATGCGCTATAGGTGAATTGGGTAAGTTAAATTGTCCCTAGTGTGTGAGTGGGTTTGTGTGGATGTTTCCCAGCGATGGTTTGCGGCATCCGCTGCGTAAAAAAACATATGCTAGATAAGTTGGTCGTTCATTCCGCTGTGGCGACCCCTTATTAATAAAAGGACTAAGCCGACAAGAAAATGAATAAATGAATGTTTCTAAATATTCAAAACGTAAACAACATGTGTTGAAATATGTATCTATCCTCGGAGCACATTTAAACACAGCCCAGTTTGAGCAAAGTGCTTTACATAGAGTGAAGCTAAATAAAAAGACAATCACTGCCAATCTTATCATGTAGAGTGTTGTCAGGACACAGGGTTACAATGAAACCCGCTCACCTAATGTTTACTCTCATTATATTTATTTGCTAATTAAGAACCACCTCATGTGGAACTCTGAATCTGTGTCTCATTTCGGAGTTTGCT